GCAACTCAATGAAGAGACAACATAAACAATGAAAATTCCCGCATACCTGAGAGTCAACTGCTGAATGATCCCAATAAACTAACATTTATACTATACAGTTCCCTCCAAAAGTATTGGGACAGTGAGGTCTAGACCAATTTTTCAGTGTGGGTTCTAATAATAATCATTTCAAATGAAAAAACATGACTAATATGTACTCCTTAGTAATTTATTTTTTAACAGAGTTAGTTGAGTTCTAGCCTTTTGGGTGAATTACACATTCACAGCAAGAGTATTGGGACAATTGGCTAAGAGGTGTGTCCAGATGGTCAGGTGTCTGTTATTAGGTAATTAGCTATAAACAATTTTGGCTGCTTGGAGGTGGATTCTGGCTGGTGGCAGGTTCTAAGCCGAATTTAGTTTTTTCAGAAGTGTTAGTACTGGTTTATAGTTAACTGATCCATAGGCAGAGGACAGCATAGTCAGTATTTGGGAATCTAAGAAGTGGAGGCAGATGTAACGTGGTGTACTTTTCGAGGATTTGTATAAGGATTGGGAAAGTTTATGGCCAGTTGCACAAGATAGACAAGATTTAATTCATTGGAGCTCCAGAATGTGGACTACGAGCTTTTTAGTAAGGTTTTAGCACTCCATATGAAAAGGGTATTAGGGGAGTTTTTGCATTCAGGTAAAACATATTCTGGACCAGGCATGCAATGCAAAATTTGAAAAGGTGGATGGTACAATCTCTCACTTTTGAAAGGAAGGTCCTTATTGCAAAACAAACAACTCTATAGATTTCAATATTTTTAGAAATGGTGTGACCTCTGACACAGTTAAAACTAAAATTAAAAGTAAAGAGGAATATTGTTGTTTCCTATGGGGTTCTGGATGGCGAAAGACTAAAAAGACACTGTGTGGCTGTTCAGTTCTACAAGGGCAATCAAAGTTTTTTATCCGTTTTTTTTATGTAATTCCTATTGCAAACATTAAAAGTATTGAATATACTGTTAAAAGCCCTTTACATTGCCCTTCCTTCTAAGCTGATTAGACATTTTTTAGTATCAGTTGGTTTGGAGAACTGCAGTAGCAAAGCTTTGCCTAGGTGCAATATATATTTCTGCTTCCTGTGATGCAGGCAAGCATATGGTGTTGACAACTTAAGATATTGCTCTAGTCTAGGGGACCACAGTGTTGAATGGCAAAGAATAAGTTGTCCTTCCTTGCTAAACCGGCATGGAGACGTGGAATGGATGGTGACCCATAATGCCCTCTTGATATTGTTGGAGAAATTTTTCTGTAATCTATCACACTTCCTTGTGCTTATCCAAATGGCAGTGTTCCAAAATCACACACATCTTCCTAATCCTCTATTTGCTAAAGATAACTTCTTTTAACACAATTGGTTACATACTGTAGGTTCGTAGCACACATTCCAATATAACAGTATAGAACTACATAGTAGCCCTTCTGTCCAGCAGTCTTCCAATTCAGTTCTAAATGACCACCTTATAAAATATTGCTGCTTCAGTGTGTACAAATCGATCTTTGTTATACACCAGGCAGTTGATGAGTTCTCCCAGGTGTCATGTGGAAGTGTCACCTGAAGTCTCAAATGTCAGCTTGAGAATGAAAGAGTGGGATAGGTGTTTTTTACGGTGGTTTTGTTTCCAAGTTTGAACTTTTGGGGACAGCTGTCGTTCATTTTGAATGTTTTCTGAAAACAGGACAGAGGAATAAATACATTTTTCAAAGACAATTTTGGAGCTGAATGAAAATAAAAAAAATCAACAATTTGGAAACTACTGAAGAAGAAAGGAACCACAGTCAGCCAAGACTGCACTGACCTAGAAACAACATCTACAGTTGATGATGGAGAAATTATCCGAGATGTCAAGGAAGACCATAAAACAATTATCAGTGAAATCAGAAACCACAGTGCAGTGGTGAAGGTATCAAAATTTATGATTTGCACACTTACAAAGGCTGTACCACAAGATGTAAACTTTTCATGAGCAGCAAGAATAGAAGAGTCAGAGTTGAATTTGCTGGAAAAGACAAAGATGAGCCAACAGAGATGTGGAAAAGAGTTACATGGAAAGAGAAGACCAAGACAAACATTTACTAAAGTGATGGAAAGGTCAAAGTGTGGAGAAAGAAGTAACTGCAGATGCTCCAACACCCACCTCAGCTGTGAAGCATATTAGAGGTAATGTCATTACCTGGATATATATGTTTATATGTGGAACTGGTTCAAACATTTTAATTGCTGATGTTGTAACTAATGTTGGCAGCAGTGGAATGAATTCTGAAGCTTTCAGAAATGTATTGTCTGCTTCTGCAGAAACAAAAATGCTTCATACTTATTGTCATTAGGTTCAATATGCAGCATAACAATGACCCAAAAAATGTACAATCCAACCAAGGAATTTATCATGAGGAAATAAAAATGAAAATTTTAAACTGGCTAAGTCAATATACATGTCTGCTAAAGAAAAAAGACCTCAAGAACGAGCAGGAAGCACAAAGTAGTTTCAACAAAACTTGGCAAGCATGAACAGCATCACATGATTACATTATATAGATTTTTAGGTGCTCAACGAGTCTCTGAATTCAAGCAATCATTTCCACAATCGGATATATAATCAAATACTGCCTTTGGCACTCTGGAGTATCCTTAAAGGGAATGTATCTTAATACTTATGGTTACTTGAAATCACACAAGGTATCTTTTATATGACCAACTGCAGTTATGGCATTACCCACAACTAAAATGTATCTTTTCTTATTTGACAGAATTCCAATTGCAGATATGGAACAAACACAAAAGAGGTTATACAAAAAAACACAATATGATAAATGAACAATGTTATTTTAGCTATTCTGTGACATACAGTACATGTACTAAGCAGAAGAAACATCACTATGCGTGTTTACTGAATGCAACACTTTGCTGAACTTTCTCAGAGAGCTCTTTAATAAACACAACAATCCTAGTTGTCCTACTGAATTCTGAAAGATTGATGTGTTTCTGTCAGTGTTTCAAAAAATATTAAAGTAATTTTGTTGGTATGCTTGCATAATCAGTTGGCACATAGCCAGATATTACAGTTTTGGCATGTCTGTGCCTACAGTATTTTTCCATGTTACATTTTCTCTACTTCAAAGAACACTTTTAGAAAGAGATATTTTTGTATTAATGACAGAAGTAACTCTAAGTTACGGATAGTTCTTAGAAGAGCATATGACTGTTTCATGTAAATTAAGTCTTCCTATCATGTCAATAATACAACAGCTGAATGAAAAGGGAGCACAGAAGCACAAAGCCTAATTTTAGGATACGTCTTGAGTCTTTATCTATATCTTCAGTAATCATCCCTCTTGGTCTCCTATATATTCAAAGTGATTTGGTTTACATTTTTGTGTCAATGAATATTTTAAGTTTCAGAACCAACTTCAATTTCGATATTGATGTTTTCTTTTCTAGTTAGTGCAGGTTTTGTTGATAAAGAAATCCTAATTCACAAAACTATATGCACTGTATGTCTCAGGAAGAAAATGTCTAAAGCTGTAAAATAGGATATTTAAACATTTTAACAAAAGCTTGGTTCCTTTATGGCCTGAATTTTTATATTTGTGCAAGAAGGTAAGAAATGTTTGTATATACAGTACTTTGAATGTGCCCCTGTTGAATAGGTTATGATTTGAGTGATTTTTATCCAAAGCTGCATCCATTATTACAGTAGATATATAAAATCAGCCGTTTTATAAATTTTGAGGATGATAAAATACATTCAGATACTTACAGTTTTGATTATCCACATAGACTGAAGATATTGAAGAAAAAAAAAGAATTACATTGTTGTGTGATGAAACTAAAAAATGTAGTTATTTTTTTAAAGAAAACTCACAGAGCAAGTACCTTGACTATGGCCAGGATTCAGTTTTTTTTTTCTTAGCGCAAGTGACCTTTTTGTACTACATATTTCCAGCCAGTGTGAGAGGTTTAAAACTGGGGCTTGGCTTGAAAGCCCCCTAGTTGAGTGTAGTTGAGACACAGCTGGCTTCATTCACATCAAGTGGGTTTGAGATTCCACATGAGGAAAAGAGCAAATCTGATTGGCGCTGTGTGTAATTGGCCACACCTCTGAAGCCGGTGTGTATTAGCTGCTAGGAGGGAAGGGTCTGTGTCTAGGCTTCTACAGGAAAGAAGAAAGTGAGAGTCTAGGTGGTACAGGCAGGATCTGCTGGGCTCCTGTATTTTAATATCAGTGGGCAGTTGTATGGTCTCTGTGGTAGAAGGTTTATGATTAGGAGGAGATGACTGTTTTAAGAAAGACAGAGAGTGCCTTGCAGAGTCAGTGGGGAAGAATATTCCAGTATTTAGTTTCTAAGGCTTCAGTGTCTCATTATGTAATGTGATTAGTCAATTTTAAAGTTAAATTGGAAAAATAGAGGTAAAGAGTGAAGCTGCATTAAGCACACATGGGTCTCTCACTCTATATAAAAGGCAAAAGTTTGTGGAGACTTGTCCCTTTTATACTTGTTATTGAGAAGTGGTGTACTTGAGGGTTAATCTGAAGAGTGGAAGATAGTTACTTATATTTTATAATGACTTTGCTACTAAAAAACTCTGGCGAATGAACAACTGAACTGTGGGTGGTGCAGGCTTTTCTCAAAGAGGTCTACTGGAACATCTTAATGTCTTAGAGCATGGAGGTTGACTATAAAACATGCAACTTTTCAAGAGACATTTTTAGAAAATGCAAGCTGTGGTTCATGTGTTGGTGTCTCCACACAATATCCACCTCCTTTCTCCAGTCCAATGACTTTTGATATTGATTTCCAGTCCCACCAGACCAGAAATCCAGATTCAGAGTTCATAGATGTTTTGTATTGGTGGGACTTTCAGGGACACATTTGTCTTAAATAATTTTCATTCTTGCAAGCAATGCATCCTTCATGAAACAAGTCGTTCATACCACGTACTGTATTAAAGGACAAATACATCATTATTTAGAAAAAGTATTTAATTCCTTTAAGTGATATAAATAATTAAAAAAAGACATGTATTTGAGCATTTTTACATAACTTAAAAATTTGCGAAATGAGCATAAATCATTGTCATCTTTGGTTATGTACTGCGTCTGTACATTCTATTACATTCTGTAGTTTCTTTCCACCTGAGCACTTGTGCTTTTGTAACTGCAACCTGACTCTTTTTGTTTCCTAAAGGAAGAAACTACAGCAAGCACCCAAACGAAAGATCTATGTTTGGTACATACTATGTTTGCTACTGAGTGCACAAAGTATTGCTCATATCAAAATACATCAAAATGCATATTGCTATAGTAAACATTTGTATGTTTTTGCATGTTAAAAATGCACTTTTATTTGCCGGTGTCAGACAGAAAAACAATTGAGTACTTTTTGTGTATAATTCCTCACTATGATTTCTAAGCAAAGAATAAAAAAGGACTATATGGATATGTACCCTAAGATGGACTGGCATCCTATCCAGGGTGTACCCCACTTTGTGTCCGTTGCTAGCCTAGTTATAGGTTTTAGCTCCCTTGTGACCCTGAATTTGGTGAAGCAGTTAGAAAACTGATGGATGTATATATAGATAAGTCTTCAATAATTATCAGCACATATATATATGGATATTCAATAATTACCTGCACAATGAGATACCTGTCTCTTTGTAAAACTGAATTTAGTGCATTTCACTTGTTCAGGACACAGGTTAGACAATGTGACAGACAACATTTTGGGATTACTCCATCCCAGAACCTTCTACTGAATATGCTACAGAGTATGAAACTTTACATATTAACACCAGCTTACTGCTCTTACTTGCATTAAAAGTTTGCTTCACTGCATTGTTAAGTTTAAATGTAAAGATTAAAAATGCGATACCTGGAGAGGGTACTCTGGATATTTCTTTGGCAAAGGTTTTTCTGTACACAGTATGCAGGAAATGTGTGATCTACTTTCTGAGTAAAAAAAAAACGTAATAATCTATTTAATAATAAAACATTTTATAATTACCACTGCTATCATTGACTGGATTTAAACGTATACTTTTTATCAGGAAACTGAATTCATCAGCATTTCACATTCAGGCTTACACACCGAGAGACAATAAAAATCTAGCCTAAAACTCATTTGTTGCATTTTCAGCGCCTCTCAGTATATTAAAAAAGCAAGACATTTCTTTTTTTGAAAAATGTTCAATTATTTTTTAAATAATACCTAACCTTTTCTAATCTTTATTATTAATAATAAGTTATATTAAATACTAGGCAGAGAGAGTACTATGTACAGAAAGGTTCGTCACACAGTTGCTGCACTGTGAGTTTCAAAAGTGCTCTCGTTCCACAGCAGAACATACAATTGCAAGGCAATGTCATACAACATCAAGTGCCGACAGACACTATCAACCACAGTTGATACAATTAGCAATAATGCCTATTAAAACATAACAATGAGAACTGACATTAGATTTGGACAATTGAAAAAAGAAACCATTTTTTTCTATGAAGACTTTTTCTTTTCAAAGCAAATACGTCAGACACATAATCCTTGTAGCTCTCAAAATAAAACAGTCAGTATTGCTGTAAGCAAGTGCTCAGTGGTTCTTGATCATTTTTGAAACTGTTCAATAGGCAGGATTATTTACACCAGACAGTTCAGTAGCAGAGATATTAATTTAAATTGCTCATTTTAATGGCTCCAAAATAGCTCCCTTCAGGTTCCGGATCCAGCAACCATGAATTTGACACTTTTACGTATATTCCATCACCATCTTTTAAAAGGAAGACTCCTCCTTGCTGTATGCAATACAGATTAAAGTCAGTCTTATTCCAATGCTTGGTGCTGCCACTTTTCATCAGCACAATGGTTGTCTTTTGTGCTTGTTTCTCATGATGAACATACTGTATCAATATGGTGTCATCTTTTAAAACATCCCCAGAAACGCCAGCATAATAACGGAAGCAGGTCTTGGCGTAAACGTAGTAAAATCCCCCTTCGAGAATTTTGATGATTCCATCAGAGTAGCCAAGGTGACGCAAATGAGCCAGACCATGGTTGGTGTTCCAGTGTATCAGCGCTAGTTGAATATTTCCTTCTAAAAAGCACAACGGGAACATAAAAGGAAAAAAAAGATTTACATAATTTACTTAAGTGAATTCAGAGAAGTGACATCCAGCAGCAGTAAGGAAAATGTAAACTGGCTATACTTTTTGGACTAACCTCTAGTTCACCTTAGTCATTCTGTACATCCCAGCCCACACAATTGCGCAATTAAAGTATCACAGATGTTACAACAATTTCAAAAACCTAGACAGTCCTGCAAGTAAATGCTTATGTTTTACGTCTCTATTTCAGACAGGAGTCCTTTATATGTACTGTAGTAGATACCTAGCCGTCTTGTGCTTTAGATTTTTTCATCTTTTATTTTTTTACGAACAATTGTTTTTATTTTCACTTTGAAACCCCCAACCCTAAGGAAAGGAAATGATAGCCGAAACGCACGACAGTAAATAATAGTTGCTCTATCCCTGCAAAACACGTTACAAGATCCAGAGCAGGAAAAAAACATCATAAAACACAATGCAGTATTGAGTACAATGAAGCACAGTAAGCCAGAACTTTAACCAACATTACATATCACTGTTACTGTATCCACAGCAGTGTACCAGGCAGACAGTGTGCCCACAAATGATGAGAACTGTGTTCAAATTTCTATTTACGAGATTGTTAACTTAGACCAAATTTTCATTTGCAATGATCTCTTATAAAGCACAACTTCATAAGAACCAAATAGTCTACTTACTTTGTGTGAAATTTATTGGTGCCCTAATGGTAAGATGAGCTGAAGGTTTAAGGTCTTTCTGAGATTTGCAGCTTCTTGATCGGTCCTTTTTTCTTGGATCTTTAAGTGCATCTGCAATAAGTCCTCCCGTCTGAGTACTCTGTGAACACAGATAATGAAATAAAATTGAATCTTATTTAAAGGATTTTTATGTGCATCAAAAGCAACATCACTATGCCTGTTTATTTAGAAAAATATACAGATGTTGCATATGTACAGTAAAGGTTTTTGGCACCATTCTGATGAATTGCCTGACTGAAAGTGACTCTGACTTCACCATTTCTCATTTCTTAATTTATTGCTCATTTCTGACTGAAAGCACTACATAACTTCAGTAGTGACAGATTTGATCTTGCTTGGGGTGCTTTAACTTGTTGAATGTCAAACCTGGTAAAAATAAAGAAAGGAAAAAAGAAAAGATCCAACACACTCAATTTATCAAGAGCACAATGCCTGTGTGATATCAGTATATTGGAGGTTAGACAGGGACTCTTGCTCCCTGTCTGCTCCTGGAGTCGTTCTCTGTTTTAAAATGATTCAGTGTTGGCTCAGAAAGAGAGAAAATTACAGTAATTGCTGTGTACAACAGGAAAGTGGATGGGAAGAACCAAATGTGATTGAGTAGGCGGAGTTTCTTGTTGCCACAGAATTCCATTTTTAATACTTGGTAGCAAGCTGACAGCAAGGTGATTTAATACTGTATTCAGAAAATTATGACAACATTCTAGAAGGACAACGAATGTCCTTGTGCTGCTTGTGTACCACTGGCTTTCTTGCAAGGTAAGAAAGAGCCTTAAGCCTCACTGAACAGTTGTGGGATGAGCTGGGACAACTAGTGGCATCATGGGATAGGAGATCAAAGATAAGATACTGTATATGATTGTCCAGGCTGTAAAAGAGGAGTCCTGGAAGATATCTGCAACCTAGTGCAAAACATGAGTATACCGAAGCTGAACATCTTATATTGCTTCCAGTGGAGACCACACACATTGTTGGCCTCTGACTTTCAACACAGTTGATCAGCCCTGTTGATGACAAGTAATTAATCGGTCATTTTCATTGAAAAACTTTGCCGATTTCATTATTTAATGTTTTAAGAACTCTGGAAGTTTAACAAAACCTCATAATGTTTATGGAAGGTCCTGCAAAGGTCACATTAATGGCCATGAGCAGGCAGAGCACAGCTGCAAATCACTCAATCATGTCAACATGGGGAAAGTCAGTTTGGGACAGTCTCATGAGCAGAATGATTCCTACAGAAAGAGGAGGATCACATTAAAAAAAGAATGCCACTCCTTTGGTGAAACAATAATCTTCTGAATCTGGTGTCCTGGTTAGAAGGGAGGACCAAGACCAGATGCTGTCGATTCCAAAGTCTGGATATTTTTTTCCAAAATGGATGTCTTCTATCAAGAAGCTCAAGCTTGGTAATAAAGGATAACAACACAAAAGCCTAAGTTTGTTTGTTCTCTTGAGCATTTTATCATCACAATCTCTAGTTTAATGTTTTATAGTAAAAGAAAGTGCAGATGACACACCAAGAAGGAGCTTATGAGGTCTAGCATGGAGAAATAGTTGAGCAGTTTAAGAACGACCCGAAATGTTATTTCCTCGAGGTTGAGGGCGACAGTTTATAAAATACTGATTGCAGATGTATGAGAACATTTTAACAATCCACCTAGAAATAAATGCAAGTACTTTTTTGACGGTTTTTCAATTTGCACACAAAAAGTCTTAAGCTTTTGATTTATTTGAATAGAAAAATGATGAATGGCCACCTGGGCCTTCATGCCAAGTCAAACTTTAGTAACGGTTCATACAAAAGGTTTCATTAAATTTTAAGTCGACATACAATACATACACAAAACAATGCGGTTTTATATTTGCATGTGGTTTAAGGAAAGAAATCAGACATTTCAAAGTAATTACCTATTGATATCGGCACAGTTTTAAAACGAATCACATTCAATCTATCTGTAATGTACAAGCTTCCAGAGAAACTTCTGGAGCCTTCCCTATTGCATACTGTGGTCTCCAAGCACACTGTAGTCATCAGGAATCCCAGGGAGTTTCTTGAAAAGAGTATGGGTGTTATCCCGGTGTCCTAGCAAAGTTTCCCCTTTGCCTTTACCAGTCCTGGCCTCTTAATTAACCCATCAATGAATCTGCTTCATTACTCTCATTTTCTCCCCCTGAAAGCTGATGTGTGGTGAGTGTACTGGCGCACTCATTTTAGTGGAGATTCACACTGGTGGTGGCAGAGGGCAATCCCCAATACCTCTGTAAAATGCTTTAAGTGGAGTGTCCAGAAAAATGCTATATACAGTAAGTGGAAGGAATTAATAATTCATGGATTGCCTGTTAAAGATGACTGTAGGCATTTGGACTTGAGTACCTTGAGATTTTTTATGGTGGAAAACTGATTTGGTGTTCTTCGTGTTAGATGAATATTATCTTTTTAAGAGTGTGATCTCTTGTGCAGAATGCAGCATTCTAAATGTACAGTAAAACTGACGATGGATCAAGGCCAAGATAATTTTTTAAAGGTTTCTTCACTGCATATGCTCACATAGGGGTTTCACTTACATTGCAATGAAAGTTTCAGGAGGTAAGCTTTCCTTGTGAAGTACTAATATCATTAAATATGGCAGACTGGGTAAAACAATGTAATTTCAAATCCACTGCTATTTTCCTATATTACACTGAAAGACACGGACAAACATAACGACAAAGTTTAAAAAAATCAAATTACTTGGCAAATTCTATTTTTAATATCCATTATTTTTTTTTCCATTACTGTTTTAAAATAATCCAAGCAGAGCACTGTACATTGGAGAGGTTTTTTGTTTCATACTTGTGGTTTTTTATGAGATGGATGTATAAGCCATTTGTGGGTTGTTATTGTTAAGGCAATAGCATATGCATGCAGAACATACTCAATGAATGATCCGATATGCAGAAAAGTCCCTGGCAGAGATTCAGAAGACTGCAGTAAGAAAATGCTTTTCTTCACGAGCTCATCGAAACAATATCAAACACATGTCCATACTACAGACTACAGAAAAAAGACAGTGTTTTACTATCACAGGTACTATTCCTCCATCAGGACTGGTTAGAAAATCACCTGCCATTAAAGACCTACATACACCTGTGCAGTGAAGTCCCCCACCTCTGAAAGAGTTTCCAGGCGGAACAGCAACATTTTCTAAATGGAAATAAGTGACTTGTCATTAAACCTTAACTTAGTGGTGACCACTTTTCCGAATGCTGAACCTTTCCATGTTTTGAAAGTTTCAAGAAAAAATATTGTAAAAATTAACAGACAATAGAGCAGCCTTTCATCTGCCTGCAAAATTTTAAATTTACTCAACTAAATCTGTTTTTGAGAAATGCTCAAACACTGAGCTGTCAGATCAAGGTATGCAATGGAAACAAAGCTCATGACAGTCAAATGGTTAAAGTCACACAGTCAATTCTGTCAATTCTATGGCTGTGGGACGAGAAGCTGTCGAGAGAATAAATTCTAGGAATCACCACCTACTGTACAAAGGAAAACAATTTGCGGCGCAACAAAACACCAGCAGCATTTCTCAACAACTGGGGTCAGAACATTTCTTGTGAGTTCAAGCTCTGGCACAGATATCCAACAACAGATATTCCTGTTAAGTGCCAGTACTGTATGCATTATTTGTTGTAATAACATGACTGTTGCCTAAGAAAAGGTACAAAAATACAATAGAATGTACAAAAAAAGAGTGTTATGTAATAAACTAGGAATGAAGAATTCTGAGGTTCATTCTATCAATAGCCTTTCCTTCCAGATGTCACACATTGTTTTTGAGAATATACTTAACAAAAAAATCATACCAATTCCTCTCTCTTTACATTAAAGTCTTGGTCAACTAAAGATTAACTAAATACAATCAAAGGCCCCACAGCTGAAGACGCTTGCTGCTCAAGTGCCACTGAAACCCTCTTTGGCATTTTCTATGGGCAGAGAGACCACATACAAAGCAAGTGCGAGCTAAATGCATCTGCTTAAATCAAAGGAACATTTAATAAGAAAAATATGTGACAGGAGGCTTTCAAGCTTCACTGTATGTTTTTCTGCATTTAATCCAGGCCTTTCAAAGATGTGCTGTGGCATCCCATAACAGAATGTACTCTTACTAAAGCCCCTCCAAGCTTGATTAAACTTACAGAAATGTCATAATGAATTGCAGAGCATTGCAGAAGTCTTGTAAATAGTTAGACACTATTATGGCACATATTGTAGACACCACTGAGCAAAGAATTATTGGTGTAGGAAAAGTCCTACTGTATATCAGAAAAGAACAACACAAGTTTTACAACTAAAAATCTTCTGTCTGAAACTCACTTAGGAAGCATCGGCACTGTTAAGATGGATATCACATGCTTTATACTCTCTCTTTCTGATAATAACCTGACACTCTCTGATACAAAATTGTATACTGTTACAAAGCGATACTATGTTCCTTCGGAGTTCTGCAAACTTGAATCATGCAAGAGATTCAATTGTGAATTGTGGGGATGCCAAAAAGCCACTTAAAAAACCAAATACTACTTAAAATGGTCTGGCCTCAGTTCTTTGGTGTGTACCTCTTTAAAGGATTAAATTTAAATGTAAGCGGCATGTTTTTAAAAAAAACATTTTTCAAAAAACTTTGCAGAACTACCCCCATTTATTTATTTTGGTGTTCAATAAAGTTCATAGAACCCATACAGTCTCAAATGTTTTTCTGTACTACAATACAAAATGATTCATATACAGTAGTACAACGTGAGCAAGATCATGCTACTGTAGGTTATTGTGATAAGCCAGCAGCATTGCACAACAGCAAATGAACGCAAATGAAATCTTAAAGAAACTAAAACTAATATTAAAAGGAATGTGGTGAGGAAGACCGTCTTTTTGCAGGTTTGCATTTCTATCAAACTGAAAATAATATGACAACATACAGATCTGAGGCAATGCACAGCATTAAGAGTAAAGGTGAGAGCTGTCTGTTACTCTGCATCATCCCGTTGTTCGTGGCCATCACTTTGTAGAGAATGAGCATTTAGGCAAGGGGGACATCCCACATATTGAACAATAGGGTTCCTTCTGTACAAATCGTTCTCTTCTTCCGCTCACTACACACTGCAAAGTGTGGTTGGGCAACACTGCCTGGCAGAGTGAATGAACTGAACTGGAAGTCAGACCTCAACAAATTGAGCCAACTTCTTAACTTGAACCCAAACTGAACCTAAGTGCTGGAATGCTACAGATCTAAACTACTTTCTTACTCAATTGTAGTAAGCTGCACTGTTTGTATTGATTTCCTCACCAAAGTCCAACACAAATCGTAAAACATCAACCACAGTCTTGCAACAGGCATCTCTTTTTAAGGCCCAAGACACTGTGACCTAAAAAACACAAGAGCGTGGGACGCAACTGGGGGTGAAAAGGTTTCTTTTGCTCTCCATGCCTTGATATCACCATAACAAAATAGGGTATGGTGCAAATAACAAAGGAGCACAAACAAAGGCAGAAAGACACACAAGCTATTACAAGTGCAAGCTGAGCTTGTGCAAACTATTCCTAAGCTATTCCTATGCCATTTTTCTTTAGAATTCTCAACACAATATTTTCGCTGGGTGGCGAGATAGTGCAGCATATCCTGTAGCAATGCTCCCACAGCCAGAAACCCACCACTGTGCTGGGCTCTGGGTTCAATTCCTGGGGTGCTATCTGCATGGAGTTTGTATGTTTTTTCCATCTGGGCACTCCAGTTTCCTCCCACAGTCCAGAGACATGCTGGTATGATAACTGGTGTACAGTATGTAGAAAAATGGCCCGGTTGCGAGTGTGTGTGTGCCCAGGCTGTACCCTGTCTTACGCCTGTTGCTTGTGGGGATAGGCTCCGGCTTCTCCTGTGATCCTGCCTGGGATAAAGCAGTGCGGAATATGGATGGATTGCTATGTTTTGCTTAACAGCAAAATACGTTTTGCTTCTGAGCATTAATACCTAGCGCTAAACTGTTTTGAAAATAGAAATGATTCACAGTTTAGTTTACTACATAAACAGCTTCTTAATTTTCTTTTAGGAATGCCTAATCCTTGTGTTTTTTTGTAATGAAACAATTTGTGAACACCAAAGGGCTTCTTGTAATTTTCAGACACATGTTTTTATGCCATTAAAGCTATTGCATCATGGTCTGATGAATAAACTTTTACCGTAAAATCTATACTCATCTGCAAAGCAGACCAATTACTTGTTTTAAAAAAATTGTTAATTTTACATTTTAATATGAGGCAGGTGACATTTTTGGTTTTTCAGAAAGGTCTCGGACCAGGGCAGAAATTGGTACAATGAATCACCACAGAACTAGACATCTGTCTACTGTATTAATCTTTGGCTCTTTGTCTGTACAGTACATAGCCCTGCCTTGCTAGTTCTGTTTATTGTGAAATGACAACACTCCTATTGCCCTGAAGTATTTGTATGTTAACTCTGTTTTGTTGGAATACATTTCCAAATATTTTGTAAATAGGGCATTGGACACTGTTTATAAATTGGCACAATCTCCACTTACACTGTTTATTAATTTTCATTGTTCACTTATTTAGGAAATACGATTCATGGTATTTTGCCATGGTAGTTAATTATAACTATAAATTTGCTTAGATCTAAAAACAAACTTCACCAGTATGTTCTTCACGTGTTGCAGTCTTTATATGGTCAGCACTGATAAAAAAAAATGAGAAGTAATTTATTCCCCAGCCACCACGAAAAGTGTACTTTTTCCATCAGTCAATGTTTAATTTAGTTATGCAGAGCAAACTGGAGGCATCCAATTTCTATTAGCTTTCAATTGTCTTTCATGAGCAGAGATTAGGAAAACTTAACCTTGCCTACCTATGGATAAGTGTAATTGAAAAAAATTTGGTATCTTGGTGACTTCTTGGAACGGAATGTGTCAGATGTCAGAAACTGAGAACAGAATTACCATAGACACAGAGTAAGCATAAAAACTGAATTTTGTTTCCTAATTGGAAACAAGCAAAATATGAAATGCAAAGCAAGCATAAATATTACGTTTCATACCAGTATTTTAAAATAAATACAATTACATGAAAATATGAGCAAGTTTTATGCTGTTTTAGTACAAGAAATATGTTTGCTGCTTTTCTGGGTGTATAATTTTCTCAGTGCTACAATTTAAACCTACCTCAAAAGCACTCTTGCAATACATTAGTATGGTTTACTCCATCACCATCCTTAATGCAAAAGCATCAAGAAAACATCTATAAATGTACTTTTTTATAGATGTCTTGCAGTTTATCAGGATATTTTTATCAAAGGAAATTGATAAAAATGATAGACATTTGGAATAATATAAATTCAACTATGAATAGTATCCACACCATTTGTTTGCCGATACAATTTCAAGCATAGGAGTTTTGCATTTGCCAGTTTTTAAATGTACAGAGTCAGCCACCTCTCTAATAAATACTAAGGTCAATATCGTCTGATTACAACATGACCTTTTTAAACTAATCTTAACAAGTATGTGATACAGTATGTGTAATAAGACTGTGTACTTATCCTATTGTATATAGTAGTTATGCCTTCGTGATTGGAGCTGGTTACAGATATGGAATACTATAACTGAGGCAGAACACAAGTGGCGCTCTGCTTTAAAGGTATTGTCAATGTCCGTGCAGATATTAAGTACTTACCTCTAGTGGTTTGTCATGTATTGACGGTAATTCTGTCTGAATGTCCTTCTTGCTGTAACAACTTGATGACACCTGAAGAAACAAACAGCAAAACCTAAATTATCATGAAATAAGTAAGGCTAGGATAACTGGGTTTTCATCAGCAAAACCATCCCCAACAAAAACAACATAATTCTATTTTTCAGACTTTTCCAACTAAATCTACACACTACATCTATATATCATCCTCACTATATTAAAAAATACCTATATCAGCAATATTTTAAGCAAAACACTACATTTGTATTATCAGCATAATGTGTTTGATGACACGCAAATGATGTGCAAATTCGTGAAGCGTTTCATATTGTTTATTGGAGTTGTGGTGGCACTGTGGCTAAGGATCTGCGCCTGTGGCTGGAAGGTTGCCTGTTCAAATCCTGTGGCTGGCAGAGGTATCCTACTCTGTTGGTACCCTAAACAAGGCCCTTAACCCCAACTGCTCCAGGGGTGCTGTATAAATGGCTGACCCTGCGCTCTGACCCCAAGCTTCTCTCCTTGTCTGTGTGTCTCATGGAGAGCAAGTTGGGGTATGCGAAAAGACAAATTCCTAATGCAAGAAATTGTATATGGCTAGTAAAGTGATTTTATCATTCATGGGTTTTGTTCTTCTTTCAGGAAACAGCTGGATGAGAACCTGGATCGATTAACCACGAACTAACTTTAACACAGGCAAGATGGGCTGAAAGGCCTCCTCTCGTTTGTTACCTTTCAGGTCCATCTTCTATTTCTACTCACTTAAATTTATTGTGTATTTCAGTGTATTTGAGGGTATTTTCACATTTCAATGACAGGATTTAATGCTAAGTGTGGTTAAGTAGTTACAGGAAGCCGTGCAGTAAGTAACCCACCAGTGTGTATTAATTTTCACGCTAGAGCGTTGACCAGTTTAACTTTAGCATCTTCTCCAAACCCCCCCTTTCCTTCATGTGTCAAGAATGCCACTGAAAATACATAATGTGCTGGCCCTGTGATAAGGATGAATCAAGCAAATTAAGATCTCAAACCTCTCTTGGTATCAGCCCAAGACAGATCGGAGTACGAGTTCCCAGTACAGTATATGGCAATTGAATAACAGACATCACACCACGTGTTTAGATTTGCATTGGTCACATATGCATTTCTAAAGCATACTGTATGTGATGCACTTCAGAATATTTGGTATTATACCACTTTAATATATATATAAAATTTTTACTATCCCTTTTTGGATGCCAGATTGTAACACTACACATATCTTAAGACGCACATTATTTTATTAACCCAATAAAGTAATTTATGACATTAGAGTTTTATTTCTGTGTAATTACATTCAATGCCTAAATACATTCAATGCCTAATGAATAATTTGAGGCCCTCCCATAATTAGCTGTTAACTTCCAAACAGACTAGATGCTCAAACTTAATACCTTAAATTAGCACATTTTAAGATTAGCTCCTGAAGATTAAGGAGATCATGATCCTATAAAACAGATAAATGTTTATTCAGAGTCTCACTAAAGAAAACAGTATTATTCTTTATTTCAGAAGGCATACTGGATACCCGAGTGCTACCTTAAGATGTCCTCAGACAGCTAAAGTGCAAAACTCTCCGTCAGATACTTACTGTAAAACTAGTAACTGCAAAATCATCACATCCAGAATACCGCTCAAAATATACTACTCCACAGTTAGTCAGATTTCTACCATTCTCATGGAAAAAGATATCCGCTCTCTTTCAAAGTAACACACTAGATCTTCATGTATTACCTCAGGGAATTTGGTTTTAGATCTGAGATTAAACTGAAGACATACCCCAGAGACCACTCTAGGAATAAGGACGTTCCAAAAAGATCGAAAAAACAACAACAGCAGACAATGCTAGCTTACAAAAAATAGTTTAACTTTATCACTTCTGTACTTTTGGCTACTTGTCTAAGCAGTGTAGGACTGTGAACATGTACTGTAAATAATACACTTTCAATATTTGTAAAAAGTGGGTTTTGTATGGGTTTTTTTTTTTAAACAAGGAAACACATTCCTTTCTTCCACATTACCACAAATTGCACATTTCCTATTTATACCCTGACCCCCTTCCCAAGTCTGGAAGCTTGTTCTGTCACCCTCACCCTCAATCCAGTATGGACTCCATATGCACCTGCCTTGTCCTACTCCAAGGCTCACAGTGCATGCAGATGAGGACAGACTCTCACTGAACCCAAGGCAGCCTGGCTCAGGGGCGCTCAGAGATTCATGGGGGGATTGGGGGGGTTGCCGTTTTGGTTTTGGGGAACCCTGCCAATGCAAGCCCAGCCAACATTGTCAGCTAGGTGTGGAGACTGCCTAGGGAACCCGAATCACAGTCTGCCTGTGCTTCCCAGTGAGTGCCTAGGCCTATACTGTATATCACGCTATAAAGCATAAAGCAAATTATATACATCCCATACTTCCAATGGATCACAACCTTGAGGAATGACTGGATGGGAGAGGAAAATATATCCATTGTAAATAACGAAACCACAGAACGAATTTTAGAATCTAAAGCTTTTAAAGCCTCGCGGTTTACAACTCCCTGAACTTAGCATTTCACCTGTGTTTTTCTAGAAGACACACCTGGAAAATGAAATCACCATGAATCCATTTACTTTCATCCTAAATGAAGATTTCTTGTACCTGTAGGATGTTGGACTATTTGGTAGTAGCTGATGTACTGTAGTATAAAAACTGAAGGTACTCTGAAAGAAACATACCGAGGTGCCTCCAGATAAGTAAATTGAAATTATTCAGCCTTGTTTCTTCCTCTGCTGGAGTTAATGATATCTGTGGCAGCAGATCTGTCTCGGCCGGTATACTGTATATGAGGAGCTTCACTAAATCCACTGAAGTAGAAGAGACTGGGGCACGTGTTCACATTTTGACACAAAGTAGCTAAAATCATTGCTGAAAAATACACTGGATCAATAGAAATGGGCAGAAAATAGAGTATATGTGTATATTTGATTCACACTAAAGTTGAGAAAGTGTTCGATGATACCACTCTGATATTCTATATGTATGTAAAGTGTTTAATTAAATCACTTCTGTACCATTTGCCTTTCACCCTAAATGCAAACTCTCTTGTACAGGTAGGATGTTGGACTTTAATGGTGAATTAAATTCCCAAGAATCTACTGAACTGATTGCCGCAATTTCTTCTCCTACTACACTGCAGTCACTTTAGTATTACAGTATCAATGAATAAAGTACATGCTGCAAGAAATTTTCTGTTTGCTGTTGGATAAGCACTGAAACGTAGTAAAACTGCAAATGAACGTTTTTTCTAACTTGTTAAATAACATGCATTACAAACAACGTTTAGCGTGTTTTCCCGAAATAACCAGATAAAAAAAATCTTTCTAGTCTACAAACATACTTATCTGAGGTACATGTGCAACAACGTTTACAGCTCAGAAAACGAAGCCCCTGTTGAGCCCTGAGTGGCGTTGTCAACTACATGCAGTTTCCGTAATAAATATTCCGTGGGTAGCTCGTTGGTAGCATACTGTATAAATCGAATAATTTATCTTTAAAATCCCGAAAGACATTCTTGGGTTTCACATAAATTCAACTTTTTTATTAACACAGAACTGATAAATGTGTCAAACCATAAAGCAAAACACTAATCGTAAAACAGTATATTAAACTTTTTTTAAGGTCAAAACAAAATTATGTTGTATTCTTTGTTCTTGTCTCTTCCAATTGAAAATGTCATTACAGCCCTGCCGGATGTACTTGTATGCGTTCAACCCCTTATTATCCGATTGCCCAGTTCGTATAAGAAGCAAAGAAACCTCTCTCTGACGACTTTTGAAAAAGATCGGTTTATGGACTGAAAATATTTTGCGTCTACATCTACGTCGAGTGCTAGTTTCTGACTGGTTCAACAGCCCCTCTCAGTTCCATGCCGCGCAGCGCTCTTAACCTCAGGTGAGCAAGAAGCGCAGCGCGAAGAAATGCGCTTCTAAAATGCCCACTTGTGTACAAAATACATGAAAAACAGATCATACCTGACCAATATGACCTGTTAAGTGTAGTAAAATTGCCACACTCGACGCGATCTGAAGCAATCCCATAACAACGAGAGTCCCAAAAATGAGTGGTCTGCAAGTCGGCTCTGTATTCTGTCCTGAATCGAATCGCTGCTGGCTGTTCTCCATTCCTGTAGGACTTCGCAGGTAACTTCGGTAATAACTAGCTGCCATGAGCTCTGGGTTTATGTGCTTGTATGTGGGAGGAAAATACTGATGACCAGGGCTTCATATAAACAGTGGGTGGGTGGGCAGTACACGAAGCTTTTGGTTTTTTTTTCTTTCCACGAGGTCAGCCAATCAGACGCGTCTTACTTCGGTCTTTTACGGTAAAAGATTATACAGTTTTCATACAGGTTAAACTAGATTGTTCACATAATACTACTGTCACTTAAGATCCACCTCTATCAAAAGATGGTCACGTGTTGCTGGTTACTGTCCTGGAGTCAGCATTATTTTTTTATTAATAGCGAGTTTCAGAGTGATCACTGTGTGCACGGACACCCTTTTAGGAATTTAAGTTAGTATAAGTGTTTGAAATGTTGCTACTGTATGTGAAAATTGATTGTAGTCTATGACATATTTGTTTTGCGATATGAAAATCTTAATATTAGAATCAATATAAACTATGCTACTCTATTAAGCGTTTCTTATGCCATAACAGGAATCAAAACTGGGCATAATTTTATGGGTGTTCGCGCGGATACCCCTCTTTTCAGGAGGGTGTCAGAGTAAATTGGTGCCCTTGAATTCTAACTCTCTGTGTGTGGGCAGTTGACAGTGATGAACTGGCAGTCCCGCCTTGTATCCTGTATTGTTTGTACAGATTGCGGGTTGTTTCACGATACAAGCCTTTCTGGTGATGAACAGATGTTAGTTTAACGATGTCAAAGGAAACGTGACATCTGTAAATTCTGAAATTGTCACATTTTAAGATTATACTACAGTCCACCTGAAGTAATACTTAAGCTATGCAATGCACACATACTGTACCAGACATTTGTTGAATGTTCTAGTGTTGTGTTACACTTCTTTTCTTTTGTTTTTAATTTCATTATAAACTTTACTTTGTTATTAAACGACGGACAGTTGTATCCATTCTTGTCCTCCAAAGCACATTTAAAATAGATTTAAAACAATGTAACATATCGTTTATAAGGATGAGTCTGTTCCACGAGCTGTTGTAGCAAATAATAACATTGAAGACTGTTTCTGCAATAAACATGTTTTGATGTAATGCACTTGGTGCCGTTCTGCATGTTTTTCTCTCTTAAAATGGTTGGAACATGCTTTGCGCAACAGTTCTGTGTTGAATTACAGGGTCTTGGGAGAATTCGGTCCAGTACCTACTCTACCTACCGTACAATATTCCCTGTCTTTAGGAAGAGAGGTGTGGTGTCTGAAAAGGAAAAACACCTTTTAGCTTAAAAACGCACACGAGCTAGTACCCGTGATACAATATCGTCTACTTTCCATTTGTTTTGAAATAAATTGATATACTGTATGGTATGGGACACAGAATCTGTGCCATTCTCCTCTCTTTTTTATCAGGCACTTCTCGGGGAATGTTCTGTTTTGGAGAAAGCTTTCATAGTCTCTAGAAAAGGGGAAATATACAACGGTATTCGCAGTAAGGTTTCCAGTAGTTACAGTACTTAATTTTCAGTGTTTAATTGAGACGTTTTATCTCGTTATTCTTAACATGATTTACTGCATTTGCACGGTAATTTTCTTCATCGTTTGTATGTGGTCACAAGCTTTGTTTGTGGCCATTTTATTTCCATAAACAAAGATTAGCCTGTTAAATAACAGAAAATTCAAAGGGGGTTATTGAGGCAATATGAGCAAGTTGGCTCTTTCAATCTTTCTTTCTAACCATTAAACCACATGACACTAAAATTATTTAATGCATGCTCATTATGTACTTTTTTATAAAACCACATGTTATTCTGGTTGGGTATAGTTCTATACCTCCATTGGAGAGAGAGTTTATTCTAGACAGCTTGTCACTCAAAGCTTTTTTCATTTTAATGATTTTCGGCAACCAGGTGATGAATGCCCGTGTAAATAAAAGGGGACAGATTCGGAATACGGTACCTGCATTATTCTGTGACTCCGTTTTGAATTTGACGTGCTACTGTATCGTGCTTTGTGAGAACTGATGTACAGTAGAGGCTAAAGCTTTTATAGTGGTGAAATGGCATCTAAAATACCATGGGAACCAAGAAAATCCTTGTTTCCCTGTGGTCTGATTGTACCCACGGCAGCTTCCACAAAGTGCTGGAGCAGGACCACAAGAGAGAATTTGGGTGGTACTTCTACCGGTTTGTTTCGACGTGTGAGCTGGTCTGCCCAAGCTGGGAGGTATCTGGAGTACACTCCCCAACACTCAATGGATAACAAATACCTCAGAGCTAAAGCGATACCACCATAGGCAACGTTCTGTACTGTATATAACACACTAGATATCAGAGCCGGAAAGAAAGAGATGCCATTTACAAGCGGTTCCATCAAATGAATCGCATTGAACTCTTGCAGTAGTTGTTGTAAATTGGGAACTGTATTATGTGTGACATGTACTGTACAACAGATCGCGCGTAGACGTTTATGCATTGTATTCGGTATAATTAGATTTCGCTGTTGATGCTAATGTCTAAATAATAGACAAATAGGTAAATGCCCTCATATTAAGAGTTTATAGCAGGAGACAGAAATATCAGTTAAATGACAAGGCAGGGCGAGCAGTATCGGAGTTTGCCATATGTTTTTGTCATCCTTACAAAGCTGACTAATGCGGAGTAATTGAAACCTATTCAGGAAACACGAAATAGCAAACTAAGTGCATTTGCAAAACAGAATGTTAGAGGTGGCAATAGGTACTTAATTGCATTGCTTAACAGACAACCGCCATAGCTTAAAAACGTCTAAAAATCATATGATGAATGCAAACTAGTCTGCTAACAAAGGAAATGGTTAAGATCATGACCGAGATATAAACCTAAATGATGATAATAAATCTGTAGAGCAGAGGTTGTTATGCTATCACCTTAAAAAAAAAACTTAAGTTAAAACTTTTTAAAAGTCAATCCATTACAAAAAACAGCGATTATTGTGTAGATTGTGTGGTACAACCCTCTTTCCTCTCCTACAACAGAAAACAGCCCTTTCGGAATATCACGAAATATCGCACTTATTTTGTGATTTAATTAATGTTGGAATTGTAAATTTACGTAAATGTTGGAATTGTAAATTAATAGGAGCTTTATTCCTCAATTTTACGATACTAGAAATTCGAGGATGGGTTTAAATAGATCGCGTACTGTTACTGGGTAACAAAAACATTTTTACCAGCAGGGGGAGCCGGACAAACTGGATAATGTTGGGTTAATGATTTTTTTACTCTTGTGTAAAATTGAAGTGTTTTACAATAATATGACCAGTGTGTTTCCTGTTGTTTTCCCCAACAACATATTATGTTTGACAATTAAATGAGAGAATGGCATCCGTAACACGGGATATATTTAGTCTAGTGTGCCAACCAATGTCTATTGACCAAATGTCTATTTGCCATAATGCATATTTTCTATTATATACATCTTATATACATCTTCTATTTTCTATTATATACATCTTGATGGCAAAAGTTAAAGAACAAAAATAAATAGAATATTCATTTAACTAAACAAAAAATATCAATGATGAAATGTGGGTGGGGTTGTATAGTTATACACAAAAGGGGAAATGCTATATCATTTGGACACTGATATCAAAGTTTCTTAAAAGTGCATTTTGCATTAAAGAATTAAAAATGGCACAGAAGGTCAGTAATTCAGGAAAAAAGTTGAGATATTTACAGGATTGTAAATAAATTGATCAATCTGGCTAGTACAGGAAACACGATATACTATATACTGTATATAAAAAATTGCATCAGCCAATTAGATGACAGTATTTTAGATTTGATGTACAATAATCCGACTTGCATTGAGTCTTTTTTGGTTCCCTATGCAAATTATTCTATGTGTGTGTAGGTATTGTATATTTTAGCAGGGCCCTCCTCCAGGTACTGTAAGACCTGGCTGATGGGATAAATGTTGCCAGTAAGTTGAACATTTGAGTTCTGGTGCTCACCAATTATTCATTGGCCCCATAATCAACAAAGACTTTGAGTCAGAACAGGATTAGGAAACTGCCCTGAAACCTAACTAAATTAACAGGTTATTGAGTGCTATAAACTTTTTCTTAATACTGCCACTTAATAATCATATTTGGCATTAACATAGTGAATATGAAAAAATCTGAAGTAATCCGTATTTTCTATTTAGCTTCGTCATTTGCACTTAACCATTTTTAAAAATACTGTACAGTATGTCTCTATGTCACCAATCTAACATGCATTCTTATGGGCAAAAGTGTGCTGTCGATTATTTATTTGGGCTGTGTATAATATAGAATGACATAATATATTATACTTAATACATAATAAAGAATGATGACAAATAAAAGAGAACAAATATCTAAGTTACATTTTCAAAAAAGTCATGCAAAACTATCTTATCGTTAGTGCCCACAATGCAATTAAACTGAAATGTCAATTTAGTAAAGTTTTAGTGCTCAATATCCACAATAATTTATTTCCATTTCAGTGCATTTTTAAAATTGGCGATTTGTGTCTCATAATGTCTGGTTATAATGGGCTCAGGTGGCAACCCTGTGACACTTGTCAACCAGTGAGAGCAAACTATAGACAGGCTGTGTGATACATGAGGGCACAATTAAAAAAAAAAGAATTATAAAGTGCTTTTAACTTAATCATTGTTGCTGTCATTATTTTCAATGATGTTGTGTAATAAAGACAAACTGTATCCCGTGGGCCCAAGATGAGCTGGAACAAAATAAAATGAAAATGAATTTACATTTGTCTTGTAAAAATGATTTTAGGATTAAAACAAGTTGAATTCAAAAAGATGTTTAGTCAAGAAAGACATTAATCTTGCTTTGCTCTTCAATCGCTGCAGTAATATAGCACAGCATAAGAGAGGCTGAAGGTTTCACAAAAGAGATTGAGAAAAATGTAACCTCAGTGACATTAGTCACAGAACAAGTTAGTAGACGAGGCAGAAAACGAAAAAAAAAGACTTGCTGAAACGTTGAGAAAAAAATCAATAGAGAAGATGTTTAAGAAATTAAAGAAATTAAAAAAAAGTTTTTAAAC